TGGATATGCTTGTTAATTTTCTGTCTCATTGATCTAATATTGACAGTGGAGTGTTAAAGTCTCCCACTATTATTGTGTGGGAGTCTAAGTCTCTTTGTAGGTTGTTAAGAACTTGCTTTATGTACCTGGGTGCTCCTGTATTGGGTGCTTATATATTTAGGATCGTTAGCTCTTCTTGTTGCATTGATCCTTTTACCATTATGCAGTGCCCTTGTCTCTTTTGATCTTTGTTGGTTTAAAGTCTATTTTATCAGAGACTAGGATTGCAACTCCTGTTTATTTTTTTTGCTCTCCATTTGCTTGGTAAATATTCCTCTGTCCCTTTATTTTGAGCCTATGTACGTCCTTGCCTGTGAGATGGGTTTCCTGGATACAGCACACTGATGGTTTTTGACTGTTCATTCAATTTGCCAGACTGTGTCTTTTGATTGGGGCATTTAGCCCATTTACATTTAAGGTTACTGTTGTTATGTGTGAATTTGATCCTGCCATTTTGATGCTAGCTGGTTGTTTTGCCCATTAGTTGACGCAGTTTCTTCATTGTGTCAATGATTTTTACCATTTGGTACATTTTTGGAGTGGCTGGTACTGGTTGTTTCTTTCTACGTTTAGTGCTTCTCTCAGGAGCTCTTGTAAGGCAGGCCTGGTGGTGACAAAATCTCTCAGCAATTGCTTGTTCATAAAGGATTTTCTCTTTCACTTATGAAGCTTACTTTGGCTGGATATGAAATTCTAGGTTGAAAGTTCTTTTCTTTAAGGATGTTAAATATCGGCCCCCACTCTCTTCTGGCTTTTAGGGTTTCTGCCGAGAGATCCACTGTAAGCCTGATGGGCTACCCTTTGTGGGTAACCCAACCTTTCTCTCTGGCTGCCTGTAGCATTTTTTTTCCTTCATTTCAACCGTGGTGAATCTGACGATTATGTGCCTTGGGGTTGCTCTTCTTGAGGAATATCTTTGTCATGTTCTCTGTATTTCCTGGACTTGAATATTGGCCTGCCTTGCAAGGTTGGGGAAGTTCTTCTGGATAATATCCTGAAGAGTGTTTTCCAGCTTGGCTTCATTCTCTCCATCATATTCAGGTACACCTATCAAAAGTAGATTAGGTCTTTTCACATAATCCCATATTTCTTGGACACTTTGTTCATTTCTTTTCACTGTTTTTTCTCTAATCTTGCCTTCTCATTTTATTTCATTGAGTTGATCTTCAATCTCTGATATCTTTCTTCTGTTTGGTTGATTTGGCTGTTGAAACTTGTGTACGCTTCGCAAAGTTCTCATGCTGTGTTTTTCAGCTCCATTAAGTCACTTATACTCTTCTCTAAGCTGTTTATTCTCGTTAGCATTTCGTCAAACCTTTTTTCAAGGTTCTTAGTTTCTTTGCATTGGGTTAGCACATGTTCTTTTAGCTCACAGAAGTTTGTTATTGCCCACCTTGTGAAGCCTGTTTCTTCAATTTGCCAGACTCATTCTCCATCCAGCTTTGTTCCTTTGCTGGTGATGAGTTGTGATCCCTTGAAGGAGGAGAGGCATTCTGATTTTGGATGTTTTCATCCTTTTTTGCACTGGTTTCTTCCCAACTTTGTAGATTTATCTATCTGTGGTCTTTGTAGCTGGTGACTTTCAGATGGGGTCTCTGAGTGGATGCCCTTTTTGTTGATGATGAAGTTACTTCTTTCTTTTAGTTTTCCTTCTAACAGTCAGGCCCCTCTGCTGTAGGACTGCTGAGGTCCACTCTGGACACTGCTTGCCTGGGGGTCACCTGCAGTAGCCACAGAACAGTAAGGTTTGCTGCCAGTTTCTTCTTCTTCATCTTCGTCCCAGAAGGATACCCACCAGATATCAGCCTGAGCTCTCCTTTATTAGGTGACTCTTTGTATATACGGGGTTCAGGGAGATGCTTGAGGAGACAGTCTCTTCCTTGTAGGAGTTCAAGTGCTGAGCTGTGAGCTCCATTGCTCTGTTCAGAGCTGCTGGGCAGGTACGTTGCTGCAGCAGAACTCATAACCGCATTTTTTCCCAGGTATTCTGGGAAGGTGGGGCTTTATTTAATTCCGGATGTGCTGCTGCCTTTTTTCAGAGCTGCCTTGCCCAGCAAGGAGGTAGCCTAGTCAGAGGCGTTGCTGAGCTGCCGTGGGCTCTGCCCAGCTGCTGTGTGAACTTCCTTGTGGTTTTGTTTATAGAGGTATAGTTATGGCAATGGAGGTCTGCCTCAGTAATGGTGGACTGCCTCAGTAATGGTGGACTGCCTCTGTAATGGTGGACTGCCTCGGTAATGGCAGACGACCTTCCCCCAACAGAGCTGGACTGTCCCGGGTCCAGCTGCACTTGCTGCGAAACTTTCAATCCAGAGCGTTTGATTGCTGTTCTTCGTGGGGGTGGGACCCACCGAGCCCAGATCACCTGGCTCCCTGTTTCAATCCCCCTTTTTTCAGTAGAATGGGCAGCTCTGTCTCCTAGGAGTTCCAGGTGCCAGTTGAAACAGCTGCCCAGATTTCTGTGAGTCTTTGTGCGGAAACCTGCTGGGCCAGCTGAAACAGCCCTGCTGGAAACTTGTGGTGCTTTTCAGCCTGGGAATCTCCTGGTCCGTGGGCAGTAATAACTCTTTTGGAAATATGGTGTTCACTCACCCTCTGCATTGTTCTTGCTGGGAACTGCACTCCAGAGCTGTTTCTATTTGGCCATCTTGGATCTGTTCCCCCGGAATTGCTTTTTAATGGCATATGCAGAGGGTGGTGGCACCAAAGTGGGGGGCACTACCCCAGCCCAGAGCTAACCACTTTTTTTTGAGATGGAGTTTCGCTCTTGTTGTCTAGGCTGGAGTGCAGTGGCACGAACTCGGCTCACTGCAACCTCCACCTCCTGGGTTCAACTGATTCTCCTGCCTCAGCATCCCATGGCGGGAGTAGCTGGGATTACAGGTGTGCACCACCATGCCCAGCTAATTTTTGTATTTTAATTAAGACGGGGGTTTTGCCACGTTGGCCAGGCTGGTCTCGAACTCCTGACCTCAGGTGATCCGCCTGCCTTGGCCTCCCAAAATGCTGGGATTACAGTTGTGAGCCACTGCACTTGGCCAAAGCTAACTGCTTTATAACTCTAAAGATTTATTGCCAGATTGCTCAGTAGCTTGACTCCTGAGGAAGATTTTCTTTAATTCAATCATTTCAGTGAGTATATTTCTAGATGTTCTGTTTTGTTCCTTTTCAAATACACCTTTTTTTCTTTACAATTTTCTATTCTTTTTGCTAGTGCTTCCTGTTATCTTTGCCTTCATTTGAAACCTACTTTTTTCTTTTTAATTTTCTTTGAGATGGTTCTATTATCTCAAGTTCCTCCTGTTTTGCCTATTCTCTCTCTTGATGGCATGTTTCTTTGGGTAGCTCGTACATTTTTTATTGTGAGGATTCTTGTTTTCATCCTCTTGGAGTCTCTGTGAGCCCTGGGTTGTAGAAATACAGCTATCGTGCAGTTTTACATTTGCTTCTGCTTGGTACCCTAGGGGTCTAAGTGGTTTGGCTGATCTATCTTTCCTTTACTTTCCTTGCTTGGAGAAATTGTTGGATCATTTAGAAACACTTTACTGAGCATGTGCTATATGCATAGTCCTACATTTGGCTGTGGAAGATACAAAACAATGCAAGACAACACTAAGTTGCTGCCTCACGTGGAACCACAGTCTGAAAGCGCCAAATAAGTATAGGCCCAAAGTTAGGTGACCATGTAAGGCAGAGTAAAGGCTCAACGATGAACAGCCAAGTTCAGAAGGAAAAACAGACAACTGGAGAAAAATAGGGACAAAAAGCCTAGAGAAGGAAAAGGTTCCTATGAGGAACTTTCAGAAGGAAGGTGTGAGTAAATCATCCTCCCCTACCCCCCACCCCAAACTAAAACCTCTGGCCTCTTCTGGGTAGTGTGGCACTAGGAACTTGACTTTGAGGTCCTTATTGAAAAAGCTAAATCAGAATCTAGGCAAAAGGAAGTCATTTAAGGTGCTCCCGAAGGATGGTGGGAGATTTGATGAAAGTTGTGTTTGACGGAGAAAAAACAGCAAGTTGAAAGGGCCAGGAGGCTTTGCAAATGATTTCACTAGGACAAGTCTGGGTTAGGGAGGCCAAGGTGAGGGCTTTGAACGTGGAAAGTGCATAGAGTGTTTGTTATCAGGAGTGGCAAGAGGGGAAGTAGCTTTTTAAGGGGTAAGGCAGGAAGGGATTCAGAAAAGACAGACTGGGAAACCGATACTAGTAGTAAAAGTGACCAGAAGGCAGGTGTCTGTCCACAGAAATTTCTCACAATGAACTGGCTACAGGGTAAGTACAGGCAAAGGGACCAGGTCTTCCACTGCTGTGTCCCTGCACACTCTAGGATTCATTCAAACAGAAACGTTTTTTGTGAACCACCCCCGCCCCCGCCCCCAACTAGCGGGATTCTGTTGTAGGCGTTATTGCAGGTAGGGTACGTTTACAAATAGGAGCAGAGCACTTGCTGTCCTATCTTCCTCGCAGGGTTCTTGTGAGGATTACACTTGAATCAACACCTGCAAAGCACTTTAAAAAGTGCCCGTCACATAATTCCTGCAATTTCAGGTCTAGTTGTGATTATTCACTTTTATTAACTAAAAATCAACTACAGGCACCTGTCAGTGCCTGCGAGCGCTCACACTGAAGGACTCACTAAAACCCTCAGGATCTAGTGAGGGAGACACTCAAATACTTTTGAGCAAAACAAATTTTACCACCACGGGCTCTAAGGAAGGCGTGCGAACGCCCCGCAGCTGGGGAGGGTGCCCACAGTCGCTGAGGGGACATCTGGATTTGCTCTGGTGGGGACGGCATTCCTGGCAGAGGGGGTAGTAAAGGGGTCGGACAAAGAGGCTGGGACCGCAGAGGGGCTCGGGCTCGGGGCTCCGGGCTCGTCCCGCAGCGGGAGGTTCAGCTTGCGCAAAGTTCCACAGAGGCCGCAGCGACTCGGATCTGGGCCGCAAAGGGGCGGGCCGAGAACCGCGGAGAAAACTCCCGAAGCAGGGGAGAGGGCTTGGAAGCGTCTCAGACCATATTGGGGACGTCTGGTAGCCAGAGGCGCCGAACCCCGCCCCCGCGCGCTCTGGGGCTCCCGGGGGAGCGCCTCGGCCTGCGGCTGCTGCCACAACTTCGGAGCCCGCGGCCCCGACTGCCCGTCACCATTGACCCCCGGCCGGCAACCCAGAGTCCTGCCAGGCCCCCAAAAGTCCCCGGGGCCACAGACAGCACGTCTCACCAGCCCCGCCAAGCTCCCGATCTCCCCCTCTGTCTGGAGTGGTGCGACCCGGCCCCGCCCCCTGACGCTAGCGAGGGGCGTGGCTTCCATCACGTGACGGGGAGTGACCTCGCCGCCGGGCGCCATGGGGGCTTCGGACCCGGAAGTGGCGCCCTGGGCTCGCGGCGGTGCCGCGGGGATGGCGGGAGCTGGAGCTGGAGCCGGAGCTCGCGGCGGCGCGGCGGCGGGGGTCGAGGCCCGAGCTCGCGATCCACCGCCTGCGCACCGCGCACATCCGCGCCACCCTCGGCCTGCGGCTCAGCCCTCGGCTCGCAGGATGGACGGCGGATCGGGGGGCCTGGGGTCTGGGGACAACGCCCCGACCACTGAGGCTCTTTTCGTGGCACTGGGCGCGGGCGTGACGGCGCTCAGCCATCCGCTGCTCTACGTGAAGCTGCTCATCCAGGTGGGGGACCAGAGGCGCCGTAGGGAGATGGGAGGCCGATGTGAAGGTGACAGGCCAAGATTTGGAGGATTGGGGCGGGGAGTCAATGGCGACAGATTTGGGGAGAGGGGCGGGGACGGCGGGTTGGAGGCCGAAGTGGGTGGGAGGGGAGGGAAGCCGTGAGGGAGTTGGGAACGCAGGGGTCACGGGTTTTAGGATGCAGAAAGGAGAGGAAGGGGTTAGAGCAACAGATTTGGGAGAGGGTGCAAGGAACACGCGAGTTGGGGGATGCCAAGGAGAGGGCGATGGGCTGGAAAGATGTATTTGGGGGATAAAGGAGTGGGGATGATGGACTTGAGATAGGGAAGGGAACGAATTTGGGGTGAGGGAAGAAGCAGCAGAATTGGGGGAGGGGGGAGAAGTTTGGGTGAAGAGATAGGGAGGAAGGTTGGGGGCCCAGGCAAAGTGTTTACAGAGTGAGGAGCACATATTTGGGGCAGAGGGGAACGGGGGCTCTGCATTTAATAGAGACAGATTTAAAGCGTCTCGGGGTGGGGACAAAGTGGGTGCCAGGGCCAGAAATTTAGGAGGTAAAGAAGGACATCAGACTGGGGGTGGGCAGAGGGGACGGAGGTCTTGGGTTTCATGGTGATTTAATTTGGTGGGAGAGTGCAAAGGCAAAGAATTTAGCAGGGAATGCTATCAGTTTACCGGAGATGGGGGCTCTGGATTTGATGGCTACGACAGATTTGGTAGGAGGAGGGGACAGGGTGACGCTTACGGGGGGAGGGGAACAGATAGGGGCGGCATTGGGGGAGGGGAGTGGCAGCGATTTGTCTAGAGAGGGGAGCTAGGAAGAGGCTTTTAGGGGGAAGGAGATGAGGCATTTGGAGGAGAAAATGGAAATCATAGTTGGGATCAGAGATAGGAATCACAGTGCTTGTATCTGGGCGGATGAGGAGAAGGGGCATGCGAGTATTGAAATTGGGCAGAAGGGACAGTGGAGACATAGGTGGCAGGATAGGTAAGGGCTTCCAGAAATTGAGATCAAGGTAAAGATGTCTCTGGAACGGAGGAATGCACGGGCACTTGGCAGATATGGTGGTGGCCGGCAATGCGGTACAGATGAAGTGCGCTGCTTGAGAGAAGGAGAGAGTGAGCTGGAATGAAGGGGGTATGGAGGTGTGAGAATTAGGTGGGTGTGGCTGGGATGGGTACAGTTTTGATGGGGGTCATTGGGCCAGAATTTTCCAGTTAAGAAGGGTGGGGGGAGGAAGGTAAAAATGGAAGTGGAGACCCATCCAAGATTTGAGTTGAGGCAGGTGGGTGTCCGATTTTACCATGTTTATAATTGAACTGAGAGAATGCAAATTGGAATGAGAAGGCCTTGAGAATGAGAGTAATTGAAATCTGGGATCCGAGGAGTGGTAATAGATTTGTGGGTGTGACCAGGAATAAGACAAAGAATGAGGAGATTCAGTCAGGGGCATCAAGGTGCCTGATTAGACCCTAATTGTGACAGATTTGAAAATTGCTGAGGGGCGAGGGTAGAGACCAAGACTGGCATTTGGTTATGATTTGGGAGTGAGGGCTGTCTTACTCACAGGGCTAATTAAGATTGTATTTACAGCAGTTGAACTGGTGGGACCTGAGAAGTGAGGGTTCTGGAAGCTGATGGAACGAGACTGAGTGAGGGCTAGGATTTTAGGGTGTGCAGGTGGGAGCGTCTGTGGAGTGAAGGATGCTGGAGCACAAGGGCTCAATGTGAAGGAAACGAAGAGGTGCCTTCATCATTTGGACAATGGCTGATCTGGTTTGAAAGAACTTTGAACTAAGGGTGGTTGGGGAAGGGAATGGGGGAATGAAGGACACCAAAGCGTGACAAGAACAAAATGGTGGGCAGGTAAGGATGGATGAACCCCTTTGAAGCCCCAGAGGTGCCTGTCTGATTTGAACCCAGCCACTGTTGAGTGTAACATATATTAGGGTAAGAACTTCAATGGGTGTTGCTTGGGAATCAGAGTAATATCTTGAAAAAGGCAGATGACTGGGAGTGGGGGTGGCAGGAGTGGAGTGACAGATTTGGGGTTGTCTAGATTGACTACATAAGAATACAGGGCCTTAGATCAGGGAATGGGGGTGGCAGGCTTGGGAGTTGGAGATTTTGAGATGACAGACTGTCCCTGCTGGTATCTGACACAGGGCCACTGCATTTGCTGTAGTTAGGACTGGGTTAACAGATTCGAGGATGAAATTGGGTTTAGTGATTTGGGAACAAGTCATCAAAACTTGAAGGTGAGAGGAATGGGGGTGAGATACAGCCAGTGTGCCTGTGATAACCCAATAGAAGTTAAGAAAATAGATTCAACAGATTTAGGAGCCACGGGGATATGAGAGAACCACACAGATTTAAGGGTGAAATTGGGATCAGTGGGACTCCCAAATTGTAGTGACTAAACTGGGTAAGGCCAGGAAGAGAGCAGTGGCGGTGACTTGGAGTGGAGGTATAAAGGAATGCCACCTGTATTTAAGAGAACAAAGATCAAGACAAAACTTAGCTCAGAACCTTGGAGCTTTTAACCCAGAAGAGAAAGGTCTAGAAGGGAAGGACTTGCTGCCTGGGTCAGCTGACCCACCCCTTTCCTCCTTTGGCTTCACTGGATCAAAATGTTTTTCTTCTAAAGACAGTCCCCATCATGGAGATTTTCAGTTTACAATCATTAATTTGTTAGGCCTCTCAGAATCACATCCACAGGAGATGGCCTGAGCTTTCAAAAGCACTTGCTTGGTAAAGGCAAAAGGGGACAGGTAGTTGATCCCAAAAAGCGCTGGAAGCATACCTTATCCGGTTTCCAAGGTAGAGCTTTCTAAGCTGCCACCACCTCCCACAGCTGCAGGCCAAAACTTCTGCATCTCAGAGGAATCTCTCTGGTCCATGGGACTGGCTAGTCTGCTTAGAGGGCACAGGGCTGGTATCCTGATCCCTGCCAAGGGAGGAAGGGGCCTTCTCACTCCCCATCTAGGTGCTGCTCTGACACCTTGTCCCCTGCCTGGCAGCAGTGGCTCTCACCCCTTGACAGAGACTTCCTGCTCCTCACGTGGATATGGATGGTCCTTCACCCACCTAAGAGTTTAATAAATATTTCAGATATGCAAAGCATCTGTACAGCGAGAACTATCAAAGCCATACAGAAATGAGCAGGTCATTTTGTCACAGGGATGTCAGGTGATTGAGATGAGAACGCAGCAGAGGGTATATCTGAGGAACAGCTGGAATTTGAGGAAACAGTTTGCTAAGCCTGGGAATGGGAGGAATAGACGTGGAGGTGTCTGCAGTAGATTTGTTAAGAAATTTGAGTTTGGGGTGCACTTTGGAATGGATGACTGATCTGTCTGAAGCTTGCGTATGATGTTTTCTTATTGTCACGTTTGGAATTGAGGTTGGAATGAAGTTTTTCAACTGGAGATGAGAATAATTGAGATTTATTCTGAGCTGGGAGTGGGGTTTGAAGGACATACAAATGGGGTTCTCTGCTGGGAATATCTGGGATTTGAATGTAACGATGTTGGGGTGTGGGTGTGACTTGGATTGTGGTTGGGGTAGTATCTGGGACCAGGCGTTTCTGTTCATTGGGAGATTACGTGCTGCCGATGGTTAGAGACACTGATGAGCTTTCTGGCATGTTTTGATGGGGAAAACCGGAACAAGAACCACATTAGAATTTGTGGGAGAAGAGTTAGGCAAAGGGGACAGGAGACTGAGGAGAGGTGGTGAGGCTGAGTCACCAGTAGACTCTGATAGTCCCTTTGTCTTTGTTAACTCTAAAGGTGGGTCATGAGCCGATGCCCCCCACCCTTGGGACCAATGTGCTGGGGAGGAAGGTCCTCTACCTGCCGAGCTTCTTCACCTACGGTGAGTGTGCCTCCCGAGCAGGAAAACCCACGTCAACAGAAAAGAGGCCTCAAGTGGGGAGAAGCTACCATGCAGCATGGCACACGGAGTTGAGCTGGCACGGGGAGGGGATCTGAGCGTGGCCAGAGAGGGCATGGTGTCGAGGTGGGAGCAGGTGAACCACACAGTTTTGGTCCACCTCTTCTGCCTGTAGCTGCCAGCTGCCAGCCCAGACAGCAGGAGGGGACCGTCACGGGTGCCTGAGAGAGGGGCCAGTCCAGGACACCAATCCCTGTTATCTCTGCTGCCCTGAACAGGCGTGGGGGTGATTTCCTTTTGCCTTGTGAGCAGGCTGGCCCTGCTACTCCAGGAGGAGGCCTGTGGGGCCCCTCCCGAGTTCTTTTCTTTCATCCCACCTGGGTGTCTTGTTTCCCCTGCGTTCCGCAGGCAGCGTAGTGCTCACTCACTCTGATGTCTCTATCTGTTGGTTACAGAATGGTGTGCAGTGAATTGCAGCTTCACTTCTGTGGGCTGTGTGAGCTTGGGAGGGCCACTTACCTACTCTGGCCCGGCTGCACCCCTTGTCTGCAAAGTAAGGTCAGCTTCTTCTGCCCAGGCCTTCCTGTAAGCTCCCAAGAAGCTTCCTGTCAGTCACCAAGAAGCCCGCCTTGCTGCCTCTGTTGCCGGCCCACAGGTGCCAGCTGGCCAGGGCCTTCTCATGTTCACCCTCACTGTCCCTTTCCCGGTCCCCACCCTTGCCAGACAATCGTGATGAGGGCCTTCTTTAAATGTGCCTTTTCTCTCCGTGTTCACAGCCGGAGTTCCATTCCAGGCGAATCCTCTCGAGTTCCCTGCGCCTCTGCTCTTGCCTGTTTGGTTGTCTAGAATGTTCTCCAGAATCTTTCTTTCTGCTGAGTAACTCGGGGCTTGGCCTCTTGTGTTATCTTTTCCACTTCACATGCTGTTAGCAGAATTGGGGGTCATATTTCTCTTCCAGTTTGTCCCTGTGTTGTTGAGTGCAGAGTCTAGGGCCAGGCGGAATGTGTCATCTTGTGAGGAAATGTGTTTGTGTTGTTTTTTACTTAAAAATTGTGAGCGTAGTGGAGGGGGAATGACAGAGGTAGGAAGGCCCCTGACCACTGCGTAGTGAAGCGGTATACAGAGGTAAGGCAGCCGGGGCGGGGGGCTGCGGCCCTGCATGGGGCTTCCTCTGGATCTGGTTGCACGTGCTGTGCTCTGAGAGGCAAGGTTAGAGCCCAGTCATCTCTATTCATGTGACACTGCCATTCCCAAAAGGACTTAGAGCGGAGGGAACTTGACCCCCACCTTACTGCCACTTGTGAGGAAGAGCAGAGTTCTGATGCATGCCCCAGCCTTGTTTATATAAATGGAGCTTCAGTCTAGGTGTGAGCAGATGTTCATTGGGCATCCAGACACCAGACCTGCTCTGGAGTCAGGGAGGGGCCGCCATCTGGATCTCTGGTACAGTGTGGACAGCGTCTGCTCCTCTACATGTCTTGGCTGAAAGTATCGCAGCTGTCGTGACATTCTCTGGTGGAGAAGAAGGAACTTCCCAGAGGGATTCCGGAACTGCGGAAAGACGGGAATGAGGGAGGCCCTGGCCAGCCCGAGGCCTTGGGCACAGAGGCCCTTGCAGGCATTTCAGCATCCTCCTCTCTCACTTCTTCCTCAGTCCTCTCAGAAATGGGGAGAAATGAAGGTCCTTATTCCTTTTTTTTCCACTGGTGGGCGGATCCGATGGAAGAGGGTGGATGTTTTGCTCAGGATCACACACAGAGGTCCTGAGGCTCCCTCTCCTCACCAGGATCCCCTCACCCTCCCCCAAAGCAAGTTTTCCTTCTGCCTGTTCACTCTGAAGTAGGGCTCCTTGCCAAGTCACCCAGCATCCCCTTCCCTCCTCCTCCTCTCTTTCCAGCCCACCCCCATCTCAGGAAATCACATGAACAGGTAACAGGTGTTCTCAGCCTCGTGAAAAACCCATGCTAGCTGTGACGTTGAATTGCTGGGCTGGCAGACATCTGCGGAGGAGCAAAAGGCATATTTGCTTCTTCCTGCCTCTGTGCGGTGCCAGAGAGCTAAAATCATGGGTCTAAAAGGGAGAGCATGCTGTCTGAGCGAATGTCTGCTCACTTCCAGATGCACAGGTGTATAAAAATACCCACCCTTCCATTTAAAACATGTTCAAAATGTTGATAGAAAACAATGAAACGTCATGAAAGGTATCCTTAGAAAGATAGACCCTAATGAAGAAAACACTAACTCACACGGGTAGGGCCTGGCATCCCTCACATTTAAGTTTATTCTGTGGACTTGTTCATTGGTGCCTCTGTTTTAGTTACTTCTCTATCGACTTGTTTTTCCCTTGACTAATAAATGCCAAAGGTGCCAGGTGGTATCCTGGGTATAGTAGGTGGTATCCTGGGTATAGCAGGTGGTATCCTGGGTATAGCACAGTAGTAGGGTGGAGGCTGTCTCCTGGGAGCCCTTCCTTTGCCTTTTTCCCTCCTTGAGGTTGCAAACTTCATCATTCCCTGTGGGTACTTTCTCTGTCTTTCCTGTTTTCTTTTCCTCAAGAAAAACTTAATTTTTAACAAACAGAATTGTTTTCTGTGTTGCAGCATTTGAGTTGCTGAGAAATCACAGCTGAGTTTGTCAAGTAGAGTTTTCAAAGCAAAAAAAAAAAAAAAAAAAAAAGCAAGAAAAGGTATGAACTGATAGTCAGCAGTTACCTGAAGGACAAACTGAGCCTGGTCTGGGTGTGTGTGACCCAGGAGTGGGTGGCCCTGAACTGGGTGTGACTCCTCTACCGCCTCTGTTTTCTTACAGCCAAGTACATCGTGCAAGTGGATGGTAAGATAGGGCTGTTCCGAGGCCTGAGCCCCCGGCTGATGTCCAACGCCCTCTCCACCGTGACCCGGGGTAGCATGAAGAAGGTGAGCCGGCGCAAAGCCAGGAACAGTGGCCCAAGGTTTCCTCATGCTCCCAGCCACCCCTGCAGCAGCCAGTTACCCTGGTCCTGCCTCCTTCCCACACCACTGGGGGCTTCACTCCAGCCCCGTGGGAGAGCTCCCACGCCGTAGTTCTGCTTTCCCACAGCTGTGACACCAGATAGTAGCTTTCTTTGTCCCTGAGGCTCCAGACCTGGAGGTTGCCTGAGGCGGGCCCAGCCAGCAGACACTGCAGAGGAAATACTTGGAGCTGGTTCCTGCCGCCGAGTCCCTGAATTGTTCCCTGGAAGAGGCGTTGCTGAGCTTTCTTCTTGGCCCCTCTCTGTTTGTTTCAGGTTTTCCCTCCAGATGAGATCGAGCAGGTTTCCAACAAGGATGACATGAAGACTTCCCTGAAGAAAGTTGTGAAGGAGGTGGGTATGAAGAGTCAGAGAGGGAGAGGCGCATGGAGGGGAGCCTGAAGGTTTCTCACCCCCAAGTTGGGCGGGTCATTGACGAGTCACTGAGCTGAGTTGTGTTCTCATGCATGCATGGGTGGGGTGGTGTGGGAAGGAGCCCTGGCCTGGATGCACGGGGAGCCCCAGAAAGCCTTCTCAGCCATTGTTGGGCCTAGCCTGGGACTGGGCAGCACTCCTGGGTGGGGAGCTGGCAAGTGGGCAACAGGTGGAGCCATCCTTGGCAGACTGACCCCATGTGCAGTCCATGGGACAGGTTTCTCCCTCGTAAGCACTTGTAGCTCCCCTCGAGGGCCAGTTCCAGAGACAGGCCGAGGGTGGCGAGTCTCCACCCCATGCTCTCTTCCAGACCTCCTATGAGATGATGATGCAGTGCGTGTCCCGCATGTTGGCCCACCCCCTGCATGGTAAGCTGCCCACCTTCCCATGAGACTATCTAAGCCGGGGTGGGGGCGTAGGGTGAGGGGTACCCCCTTGTGGACTGGAAATAGACAGTTGTAGACCAGTTGGGAAGTGGTAGTGGGGTGGGGGTATTCTACTGGAACCGACCCCACTGAGGAGAGGTTGGAATTCTTTCCAGAGAGAGGTGGAGCTCTTCCCAGGCAGAAGAAATGGGACCCTGCGGTCATGGCGTGTGCCAGGGAATCCCAGAGACCCTCTTCCTCTCCTCCTCTCTCAATAGGCATGTTGTTCAGTGGCCACTCTGCACCCGGCACTGGTGGCTGGGGTGTCATGAGGTTTGGCCCACTATGTCACCTGTGTGTGTTTTCTTTTTCCTCAGTCATCTCAATGCGCTGCATGGTCCAGTTTGTGGGACGGGAGGCCAAGTACAGGTGGGTGACTCTTGGGACTGGCAGAGTGGCCCTGTTACCCTCTCAGAGTCTGCCGGGGCAGGCCGTGCCGGGGTTGGTTGCTGCACCTTTTCTGCCCTAGTCCCGTGTGAGCTCAGCCTGCTGCCTGGCTTCTGAGGAATGCAGCAGTAGCTTCCATAGTCTGTCCAGGGCCATTTTCTCTTCCCCCTCTCTTATCAAGGGCAGCCCTAGATGAGCCTAGATGCCTTTGCAGAAGGGTGAGTGGGATTGCAGTCAGTTTGGATTAGGATTTCTGGCACCAGAGCTGATTCTGCCACTTAGGGCTGAGCTGAGGTCTCCTCCTGGACTCCCAAGGTAATGCTCTAATGATTTTTCCAGCTGGTAACTCTTTTCTTCCTCTGTGAAGAAGCCATGTACCCCATGGGCTTGGGGCTTATCCCTTCAGTTGTATACCAGACCCTCACCTAGATCTGCACGCAGGCCTGGGCAGGTGCGAGGACACATGTGTTGACACAAGAGGCATGTGGCAGAAGGACACACCTGGGCTGCTCTTTCTCTCTAAGACTCTCATTTCCTGGGGTCATTATTTTTGGCAGCTGTCCTGTGAGGCCACGACCCCAGGAAGCTCAGCTGGCATGATGTCTCACTGGGGTCATTAATGGGAAATTGGCCCATTCCCCTAGACTGAAGTATGAGGTTGGCAGTTGGGACCAGGAGGGTATAATCTGGCTGTTGTGAGTGGTGGGGCTAGGCCTGGCCGGGCTGGGATGACCTGGGACCAGGGCTACCCAGGACTTTGCCTTCCACTGGCTTCCTCTGTTAGGTTATCCCTTCCCCCTGGGCTGTGCACAGCCTCCATTCAGGACAAGCCAGTTGATGTGTCCAGCCACAGGTCACCAAAGTTGTTATTGAGCTTCCTTGGCACTTCACACCTAAGACCCCACAGCCTGTCCTCTCATCTCTAACAGGTGCAGTGGCCAGGCATGAGTCCCCGGCTCCCTGCTGGGGAGTGCCAGGTGTCTCCTAGGCTGGTTCCAGTGTCTCCTCCTGTAGGGCCCTGTATTCCTTCCCTGCCCTCGGGGAAAGTGATTTTCTCTGCTCATCACCCCCTCCTACTCTTACTGTCTTCGGCGGGCCTGCGGGCTCCTCTGCTGGAGGGTTGTTTAAGCAGAGATAAGTGTGAGGGCCAGGTAAGAGCGGCCTGCCGCCTCTGCAGCAGTGCCCCATGTCGGGAGACGCATTCCTAAACTCCCGGCTCACAGAAAACACAGTAGAGCACTGCTAGTGGGCTGCCCCTGGGGGAGGTGGGGCTTCCTCAGTCTCCGTGAACTGTGTCAACTACTCCTCACCCTGAACAAGCACTCTCTGTGCCTTTCTCTCTGTGCCTTTCTACTTGGTTCCTCCTGGTAATAGTCCTCCCCATCCCCGCCAGGACCGGCTGGATCTGAGCAGAGTTGGTAGGCTCAGCCCCACACCAAGGGCTGGGCTTCTGGTAGGTGGCGGCATGACCCGGTGTCTCTGTCTCGCCTTTTTCACAGTGGTGTGCTGAGCTCCATTGGGAAGATTTTCAAAGAGGAAGGGCTCCTGGGATTCTTTGTGTACGTGAGTTTATACACCCCATAACTGGCCATGGGCATGGCTCTACTAACAGGTGTGTCCTTAACCTCTCAGACCACAGCTACTGGCTGGGATGAACCACATAGCCCGGCCCTAGCCTGTGGGCTGCACCGGCTCTCTAGAGCTCCGTAGCGCGTCCAAGCTGCTTAGCCCTTTTCAGGCCGTGGCTCACGTAAAAGTGGAGATGCACCGACCAGCCCTGCTAGCCCTCCTCCTGCGGTGGGTGTGGGGCTGGTCTTCATGAGCTTGGTCACTGCGTAGTCCTTGGCCCCACTGCTAAAACATGACTGAAAATCTTGATTGGACGGAGGGTGGAGCTCTGGAAGCTCACAGGCTGATTACAGCCAATGGATTCTGTTTGACATTGCTTTTCTGACAAATTAGTTGTTAACGTTAACATTTCAGATATTTTGCACAGAAGTCCACATTTCTGGCGTCTCTTGAAAAGTCAGAAAATCTTATCCTGCTGGGTGGTTCTTTCTGTAGAGCAGCCATCGAGTGGAGCCCAGGACCTGCTCCTTTGGCAGGGCACCTGGGACACCCTGCACTTCACTTCCAGCTTACTTCACCTCTAAGGAAAGCACATACTGAAAAGACTATGATCAGAAAGAATAAAGCACAGACAGAACCCAGAAGCCAGGTTTGATGAGTTGTTTTTTGATTTGCCTTTTTAAGGTCTAGGCAGCAATGTACATGGTGATAGGTACGTGACAAATACTAGATACTAGGCTCCATATTATTAAAAAGAAGTCTTTTATCGCATGGTTTTCCAGTTTGCCAGATGTTTTTAATTTATGGCCCCTCATTTAACCAAGAAATGACTGTTTGTAGGTGTGTCTGCATGTATGCGTATATAATATGTAAATATACGGTTCTCAGGAGGTGAATTTGCTCCCGAGGGAACACTGGCAGTGTCTGTAGACATCTTTTGTTTGTCACAACTGGCATCTAGTGGGTAGAGGCCAGAGATGCCACCAAACATCCTACGGTACACAGGACAGCCCCGCGACAAAGGCGTATTCATTCAGCCAGGCGTCGTGGCCTGCATCTGTGATCCCACTTACTCAGGATTCGCGTCAGTGGTTTCTGCAGCTGTCAGGAGGCTGAGGCAGGGGATTAGTTGAGGCCAGGAGTTGAAGACCAGCCTGAGCAGCATAGTGAGACTTCTGTCTCTACAAAAATGTTTTAAAAAATTAGCTGGGTGTGGTAGCACGCACCTGTAGTCCTAGCTCCCCAGGAGGCTGAGGTGGGAGGATGGCTTGAGCCCAGGAGGGTGCAGTGAGTGATGATTGCACCCCAGCACTCCAGCCTGGGTGACAGACTGACACCCTGTCTCTTGGGGGAAGAAAAAAAAAATTCTTCAGCCCGAAATGTCAGTAGTGCCAAGCTTGCTCAACTCTGATTTATATTCATACACACACACATATGTACGTATAAGTATGCACACATATATTTGCACATGTACCTGGTAACAAACCAACGTTTGTTACATGCCTGTCAGCATGGATGTCACTGCCTAGACCTTAAGGCAAATCAAAAATCAACTCAGCGTGGCTTCTGGGTTCTGTCTGTGCTTTATTCTTTCTGAACATCGTCTTTTCAGTATGCGCTCTCTTTATAGGTGAAGTAAGTTGGATGTGAGGTGACAAAGTGCAGAGCGTCTGGAGCCCTGGGAGACCATGTACCCTGTCAAAGGAGTAGCCACTGGGCTCCGGCTGATGGCTGCCCTATAGAAACGGCCACCCATCTTAAAACACGGCACATCACCACCTCTGGCATTTCTCACACCACGTAGTTCTCTTCTGGTGTGTGAATGGGATTCCCACATAACAGATGCCTACTCTTTGGGTTCTTTTTCTCCGTGTGATTTTGGGACAGGTGATACGCATACCTGTTACAGTGAATAGAAAGCACGAAAGGTTATATGTCGCATGTCGTCAATCTGAGCACAGGCAGGGATGACAGGATTAGAAATTGCATTCACAGAGGTTCATTTTATTAATATTCCTCATAGATGTATTACATATATTCTTTTGAGTTTTTCAAATATTTTATAGTAAGATTTTTTATTTTAAATTCAAAAACCATAATTCTGCTTCTCCTCCCAGGAGACAGCCATCCATCTCCTGGGGAATCCTCCCGGGCACTCCCCGTACCTAAACAAGCAAACACATTTAGAAACACAAGAGGCACGTGGGACCCACTGACCTCAAACTGGCCCTTTGCCCTCAGCGCTGCATCTTGGGAACCTTCCTTAGCCGTTTGTGGAGCTGTTAATCCTATAAAGGCCATCATTTAAAAAGTTAGCCCTCCTTGTAAATGCTTACATATAATCTTTTTGATAGAATATTTTCAGGGTTGAAGAGAACAGATACATTGAGCAGTGTGTTTTCTGAGAGTTGGTTAGGTAAAGAGGCCAGGAGAAAATTATGACACGTAGGCACTCTTATTAACTGCATTTGAAAATTCCAGATTTGGCAGCATTCACATCTAAAACTGCTTGAGACCCTTAACTAATTTTTGGCGTCCAGAGCGGCATATAACACCTCCCCATGGGAAAAGGAGCACTACCTTCCCAGTGTGCATAACTGCTGGCCCCTGCAGGCTTCTTTTCTGAGGCTATGCCATTGAATATGCTAAGATTTTGAGCCTGGAACATCCCTGCCTGTTTCCTGGGTGTGGAGCCCCCAGGAACTGTTCCTCTCCCTCTCCTGCTCATCTCTGCTTACCTTGTTTTTTAGTGGATTAATCCCTCACCTCCTGGGCGATGTGGTTTTCTTGTGGGGCTGTAACCTGCTGGCCCACTTCATCAATGCCTACCTGGTGGATGACAGCGTGAGTGACACCCCAGGGGGGCTGGGAAACGACCAGAATCCAGGTTCCCAGGTTGGTTGGAACAAGGACTTGTCCTTCTTTCCGTGTACTGCTGATGCCCAGGGTCTGGGGCAAACTCGAGGATTCTGGGATTCTGAGCATCAGGCCCGGAGGGCGAGAGAGGACCTCTCATTGCCCCTGGAGTCAGCTTTGTCTAAGGGGAGAATGGCCTGGAGAGGCAAGATTCCAGATTATTATCCAGACCTGGGAGGAATTAACGAAATGCTTGTCCCTGGGAAGCCTTAAAAGCAGACCCCAGCTTATTATCTAAGGCTTCTCTGAGGCAGTGACCCAACTAGGGCTCAGGAAGCCAGGAGATAGACCAGCCAATAGTGATCACCCTTTGACCTTTGCATCATGTCTTTTGCTTTTCAAAACACTTTTGTGAACACTATGGCCTTTGATCTGACGGCGTCCTAGTTGTGAAGAGAACAGGGCAGGCATAATGTTCCGTTTACCAATACAGAAATTGAGACCCAGAGATCACAAATTCTGGAGAGACTCTGGGCTCTCAACAGTCACTCAGCTGGAACTAACAGGGCTGGAATTAGGTCCCTGGCCAGGCCAAAGGTAGGCTGTGTTCCTCTGAGTTTTTTCAGATCTGCTAGGAAGTATGCAGTCCAGGCTCACCCTCCTATTTTGTGAGCTGTGGTCTACACAGCCTAGTACACAAAGACCTCTTAGCCTGTCAGGTCAAGCATAGGAAGGTCTGGTCCATCTACACGGCACTTGTTGAAGAAGGCCGTTCAGGTGCCTGAGGGGTTGACCGGTTCTGCCTGAACCAAGATAAGAGGTAGGGAGCAGCAGTGGCTGGGGATTGTGGTATCCAGACATTCTCACAGTGGGTATTGCCACACCCAGGAGGCTAGGGGAGGGCCTGGGGACCTGTCTGCCAGAATCACTTGGGCGGGAAGTGGGTCATGTTCCGTGTGTGTGTGTCTGGCACATGTTGTTCTGTGTGGTAAGGAGTTCCCATCCCAGATGGGAGCCTCTGCTTGCAGGGAGACTGGTTACTTGACCTGGGCAGGTGAGTCTTAACTGGCCTTTCAATGTCAGCAAATTTAAAGTGGCTCCATAGAGACCCACCTCATCTGCAATCGCAGTGGCACATTCCTGCAGTTCTGCCCCTTCTCGGGGGCCTTGTGGGTGGATGAGCTGCTGCTGTCACATACAGAGCCAGGGTGTCAGGGGACAGGGATTACACAGCTCAGTGGTTCCTGGTCTAGGTGGGCAGCTGTCTGACCAGAGGCAGCTGTGCTTACGTTAGCAACAACAGCGGTCAACACATTGTTGATAGTGTTTTTTGAGTGCTTTTCTGTGTGTGGCTTAAAGGCCAAGATGAGGCCGCCGGGCTTGTCAAAGCCACTCAGGCAAACATCTGAGCAAATCTCTGCCAAGGCCCCAGGGCATCGATCTGGTGGGATGGCCGCTCCACAAGAAGCTGAGGGTGAGGAGTCTCCTTTCCTCACTAGGAGCTGCTTGCTTCAGCAAAGCAGAATTTGAGAAGTTGGGGTCTGAAGTGGGAAAAGCTTGCTGAGGTGGAGGTGGCAGTAAGCCTGGAGTTGCCCTCGCCTCACCCCATGGGCCAGGATTCATCTCTGGGTGTCAGGGTGCATGTCTGTCTTAGCACCGTGTGCCAAGCCCTGGGTATTGATCAGGCAGGCCCAGGCTCAGCCCTGAGGCTCACAGTCCAGTGGGGTTGCACCAGTAGCGGCAGCAGATCCACTTACCTAGTCTCCTTCTCAGGACTCCCTTCAGTCCGCTTACCCCGCTTCTGCCCCCGAGTCCGGACAGGAACGGTGGCGTGTGCGGCATGCTTGTGAGGAGCTGAGTGCAGAGGGTGGGGTGAAGGCATGTGAGCTGCAGCCTGCGTCCTGAGGTGCCTGTGGCAAACTGCTCTTCCTTTCTGTCTCCTCAGTTCAGCCAGGCCCTGGCTATCCGGAGCTATACCAAGTTCGTGATGGGGGTAAGTCGAGCCAGCTGCTCTTCCTTCCCACTGCCTTGCAGACCCAAGTAGGGCCTAGGAAGCCAACCCTGGTAATGACTAGAGGCAGGTCTTGGTACAGGGTGTTAGCGTGGCATGTCCCTGCTTCCCGGGCCAGGGTGGGCCACTGGCACTAAGGCCTCTCTGGGTTTCAGATCGCAGTGAGCATGCTGACCTACCCCTTCCTGCTAGTCGGCGACCTCATGGCTGTGAACAACTGCGGGTAGGTGTGCGCCCCCCTACTTGCCACTTTACCAAGGCTGTGGGGAGGGGGGGACCTTCCAGCACTGCCCCTCCCACCTGTGTGTAGGCTCGGCCTGCCAGGCACCCTGGCTTCCGCTGGCACTTCCCAGCACCCTGTGGGGTGAACTGTGGTGTCAGGGTACGGACGGGTGGCAGCTCAAAGTCGTTCCTTCTCGAAGCACCTTCCCTGTGGCTGGCTGTCTTCCCACTGTTCTCTGCATCTACACTCTCCTTCCCGGGCAGGCTGCAGGCTGGGCTCCCACCTTACTCCCCGGTGTTCAAATCCTGGATTCACTGCTGGAAGTACCTGAGTGTGCAGGTGAGCAAGCACTGGACGGAGGAGGCCTTTCCTGTTCTTTGCCACATCCTTCAGCTGAAATGATTTTGTGGATGCTTCATGGCATGGAAAGATGTGGTTTCATGGAATCTAATGCTGTGAGGAGACACTTGGTATATATAAGGCATTTAAATTAAATTTGCATGTTACCTAATTTCAGAAAGGATTTGAGGTTGGCCAAGTGTGGATTTATTTTAAGATTATACATCAGACAAGACTTTTTCTTCTTCGAGTCTTCAAGACTCTTAGGGTAAGAATAAGGGAAATCTGGCCCAGGTCGCAGGTGGGAAAGCCCAGGAACTGCTTATCCGTCAAGTAACATGGGTGGAAAATTCGAGGTCTGTGACCAGTTCAGCTGAGTTTGACTGAGTCTGCATTGGAGACCGACTCCTCCCTCCTACAGGACATTCCTGGGCCCAGGAGAGCCTGTGGGTGGAGCTGGGCCACATGGGGACCTGGCAGCAGTACCAGCCTTGGGTTCTTATGTTCTGTGCTGAAGGCACCTCTCCCTGGCCGGAGCTCTTGGGCTCAGCAGTCAGGGGTCCAGGCTCTGGCCAAGGGCAGAACCTTTCCTTTTCCTGGCCTTGGTTTGCCTCGCTGTGAAATGGGGCAATAGCCTGGAGGGAGCCGAGTGCTGACTGGCCTCAAGGCTGAGAAGAGGAAGATGGGAGGGAAGCAGGGAGGAGAGCCACAGTTCTTCCCAGTGACCCTGGTCAGTGTAAGTGTGTTGCATCCTCCCCATGGGCATTGAAAGAGACCACTTGGGCTCTGAAGCAAGGGGGGCAATGAACCTCCTCCGTAGGGCTCTCCTACTGAGTAGCCCCAAAGACACCCCTGGGCAGGAAATGAGCCACTCCCTCCTGCTTCAGCACAGGTAGATTCTGCCCTCCAGGGATACAGGCCCAGGCCCTCCACCCCCGAGCCTGGGTCCTCGAGCTCCTGGACCCTTCTTTGCCTGACACTGGCCTTCCTCTAGGAGGGATGAGGAACCGTGGCCTCCCCACTCACCCTACTTTTCCTTCTGGTCCAGGGCCAGCTCTTCCGAGGCTCCAGCCTGCTTTTCCGCCGGGTGTCATCAGGATCATGCTTTGCCCTGGAGTAACCTGAATCATCTAAAAAACACAGTCTCAACCTGGCCACGGTGGGTGAGGCCTGACCATCTTAGGACACCTGCAAGACGACTCCAACCCAGCAACAACCAGATGTGCTCCAGCCCAGCCGGGCTTCAGTTTCCATATTTGCCATGTGTCTGTCCAGATGTGGGGTTGGGCGGGGGTGGGGCTGCACCCAGTGGATTGGGTCACCTGCCAGACCTGGGGAAGGTGGGGTGAGGTGGGGAGTTGGCAGACTCCCCATATCTCCCAGATTTGCTGAGTCTGTCTAATGCAGAGGGCCAGAGAATGGCTTGTGGGGGCCCAGGTTGGATGGGGAAAGGCTAATGGGGTCGGACCCCACCCCGTCTACCCCTCCAGTCAGCCCAGCGCCCATCCTGCAGCTCAGCTGGGAGCATCATTCTGCTGCTTTGTAAATAGGGCGGATCCCCTGGCACACGGCCACCATCATGTCTAGGCCTATGCTAGGACGCAAATGCCAGGCTCTGCCTGCGTTTTTCTCAACACTAATGATATGAGGGCAGCACCTGCCTCTGAATGGGAAATCATGTGACTACTCAGAATGTGTCCTCCTCATCCAGTGCTCATCTGTTGAATGGTGATGCCTCGCGCGCAGGATCTGGTTACCTGTGCAGTTGTGAATACCCAGAGGTTGGGCAGATCAGTGTATCTAGTCCTATCCAGTTTTAAAGTTCATAGTAAGATCTGACCCCATCTCCCACAAATAAATGTATTGGTGGTGATTTGGAGTTTTGTGGGTAGTCTCTTATTTTTGTAAGCTTAAAAATCTACCTGTAGAGTCTGAGTCCTTCCTGTTGGTGGGAGAAGGGGCTGTAAAGAGGCGGGGCAGGGGGCTGCCAGGTTGGAGATGTAGGTGCCAGAGCTTGTAGCTCAGTCTCCGGGGAGACACTGGGTGATGAGGCTGGGGTGCCCGTTTCCACAGTAGCAACCAGTGCACAGGTCTGTTGCCTGAGACGGGCCTTTTGGAAAGTGTTCCACGTACACCCCTGACTGTCACATGTCAGGATGACATATCTTCAAGTTTTACAGAGAGTCGCTTGGTGCGGTGGCCATAGTTAATGTCAGAATGGGCAGACCTCCCTTCCAATAAATGGTTTTTGCCCAGCACTGGGGTCTATAAGCAGACAAAGCTTACAAATGTTTTGAGGCCCAGCTGGGTTCCCCCAAGTGTTTGCCCTTGCTTGAGGTGACCTGGCTTATGAGAGTTGAGGTCTGGTGTCTTTGGTCATATTTCCCTCAGGGGCCGAGTCCCTGCCGCCAAAGGGAAGGCCCCTAGGCTGCTCATGCACAACTGGGTGTTTCCAGTGGCCTAGTAACAATGGACTCGGGCAGTTTCATGTCACAGGTTTCCCAGGAACGCAGAAGTGTGTGTGTGGGTGTTATGTAAATGTACACTGGTTGAGGCCACTAAGGTCTCCTAACTTTGTCACCCATATTAACTTTCCTAGAGAAACACCCCAGAGGGCTAGGGTAGTGGGAAGAACACATGCTGGGGTGGGCAGGGCAGGCCTGTAGAGAAGGGGACCTCGGGTTCCCAGGCCCTTCAGAGGGGAGTCTGCCCTGTGGCCTCTCTCCAGCCCGGTGTGTTTTCCCACAGCACTGACCATTGTTCTGGGGTATCTTTTCTTCCTGTTGCTCCACGCTCAGATCCTGTTTTTGCATAGATTAGTTCCTAAGTCTCCCCCACCCCGCCGAGACAGGGGCACGTGTATCTCTGGAGGCTGAGCTAAGCTGGACCTGAAGAGCTCCTCGCAGTTCAGAGGCTGCCTGGAGAACAGAGCAAGGCTTCGGTGGCCTTGCCTTTGCCCAGTCACCTCAGGGAGGGCTGCTGCTGTCCCCCAAGAATTGGGGGGTTTCAACTTCATTTCCCAAGCCATCTTCCACATCCAGAAATGGCATGAAAATCTCCTTTGGTACTGCATCCCAGTTATTGGTTGAGTAAAGCACAGGGTTTTAATCTAATAAAACAGGAAGTTTTCAGTTGTTCATTCAAATTCTTGTATTGGTGTGTGTGTGAAATGCTCTGTTTCCTGGACCCTTTGATCTCTGGGAGCTGAGACCCTGTCCATCTGCCCTCCTAGCACTTGACATGTTTCCTGCTGACTAGTCTTGGAAACTAGGATGCTGGGTCCTCATCTCAGAAAGGAGATTGGGTGGGATTGGGCAGGAGAGCTGAGCTGTCGGCAAAGGAGGGGTGACAGGAGGAGTGTCCTGTAGAGAGCCGATCACCTCCCCTCCTGGGAAACCATCTGATGGGCAAAGCTGAAGGGGCCTCTGACAGGCTTTTGGGGACCTCCTTATATGTTTTGGGTATATATATATTGGGTATTTACCCAGGATAATTGGAAACTTAGGTTCACACAAAAACTGGTACATGAATGCTTACGGTAGCATTATTCATAGTAGCTCAGGAGTGGAAACAGCCTGAATGTCCAATGACAAATAAAATGGAAATGTTCTTCAGAATGTAACAAATATTCCATAGAATGGAATATTGGCAATAAAAATGAATGAAGTTCTGATTCATGCTATGACACAGATGAACCTTGAAAATATGTTGGCCGAGGGCAGTGACTCACACCCATAATCTCAGTCCTTTGGGAGGATTGCTTGAAGCCAGGAGTTCAAGACCAGTCTGGGCAACATAGTGAGATCCTGTCTCTACAAAAAATGTAAAAAATTGGCTGGACATGGTGGCATGTACCTGTAGTCCCAGCTGCTCAGGAGGCTGAGGTGGGAGAATCGCTTGAGCCCAGGAGTTGGAGACTGCAATGAGCTGTAACCCTGGGTGTCAGAGCAAGACCCTGTCTAAAATTATATATGTTTATATGCTAAGTGGAAGAAGCAGTCACAAAAGACCACAACATACATGTCAAAAATTTATGGGGGATGTTAGAAGAGACAAATCCATGTAGATAGATTAGTGGTTGACTGAGGCTGGAGAGGTTGGAGGGAAATAGGGAGTGACCGGTAATGAGTATGGGGTTTCTTGTTGGGGTGATGAAAATGTTCTAAAATTGTGATGGTTACACAACCTTGTGAATATAGTAAAAATCATTGAGTTGCATACTTTAAATGGGTGAGTTTTATGTTATATCTGAAGAGAGCTAGAAAAAACACATATAAAGAAAGTAGGCCGGGCACAGTGGCACATGCCTGTGATCCTAGCACTTTGGGAGGCTGAGGCAGGTGGATCACCTGAGGTCAGGAGTTCAGCTATTGGCCAAACCCCGTCTCTACTAAAAATACAAAAAGTACTCGGGCGTGGTGACGGTGACCTACAATCCCAGCTTCTCGGGAGGCTGAGGCAGGACAATCGCTTGAACCCCAGGGGCGGAGGTTGCGGTGATCACACCAGTTCACTCCAGCCTGGGCAAAAGAATGAAACTTCATCTCAAAAAAAAAAAAAGAAAGTAAAAGAGGGGCGTGCCCTCCTTGGTTACAGGTCGGCTCCCAGCCCTGGCCTGACTTGGGTGGTGTCCTGTTTAACTGGGCACCCTCCAACATTGGCCTGGAGACTGTTGCTCTGCCCCTTCCGACCACCCAAGCCACCCTCAGTCACCCACCACTGCTACCCCACCATACATGTGCTTTTCTGGTCCCCAGCACCTCTGGACAGTCCTGCTGTGCTCCCCTGGGGAGGGTTTGGGACTCCAGGTCCCTTTCTTAGGACTCTTCCAAGCACCTGGAGCTGGCAGAGCCTTGCCTGACATGCATGTCTGACCTTGGCCCCAGACAGGCCTGGGCAGCAGCGCTCCCATGAAGAGGCCGCGTGCCATGCTTTGATCCTGGGCTCCAAATCTGCCTAGGCCCGGCTGGTGACTCCTGAAGCTGGGAGAGGCAGCCCAGTGCCCTTGGCCTTCCTTTGTCTCTTCCCCTTCCTGCCGGCCACCTGTGATTAGGGGGAATGGAGAGTTATGGGAAGGAAGGAAGGGTGCATCCCAAAGAGGAGACACTAAATGGAGTGTTTTAGAGGAGGGGGCTGTGAAAGAGAAGGAACAGCTGTCACAGGTTGGACAGGCTTTTATTGGGGAGTCAGGGGTTGCTTTCCTTCCCTTGTCCCTGCTTCCCTCCCCCGCAGAACCCCACTCCAGTGGGGCTTGTCCTTCATCTGCCACTTGCAATCCCCATCCCCAGCTGTGCAGGCACTCAGGGAAAGCATACTGTGTGGGCAGACAGCCCCAGGCCAGGCAGGCAGTGAGCTCCCCCAAATACTCCCACCCCCAGAACTCAGGTGGGAGGGGCAGGAGAGGTCTGGGCCTGGTGTGCAGTCATCAGGCGACCCGGAGCTTGCAGCCAGCCAGGCCTTGGGCCTCCAGGATGGTGTGATGAGGCATGTGCCCTGTAGCCTTTCCCTTCCAGAGGACCTTAACAAAGACGCATCTTGTTTAGGGGCTGAGGACAGGGTGGGGAAGATGACAGGAGGACAGCTGACCTCTTCACCCTAGGAAGGCAAGAGGCACTTCTGGGGAACAGTCCTGGACTCAGATGGTTCAAGGAAGAGGCCAGGGGACTGGGAGGGTCCCAGGAGTTCCTGGGAAGCCCGAGATCCTCTGTCTGGGAGAGAAAGCTGATGGCCACAGGACAACCTGAGAGTGGGCACATGTTAATACTGCCCAGAACAGTCTGCAGCTGGCTGAGGGATGGGCCTACCCAGAGCCGAGGCACTCCTGGAGCAGTGCCAGAGGCTGGCCCTGTAGACACCTCCCAGGAGGACAAGGGTGCTGGCCTGGAATCTGGCCAGAAGTTGGGGTCAAGGGGGACTGCTGGGCCACAGAGCATGACCTGCCCAGGAAGCTGTGACCTCTCACTTGGAGAAAGATAATCCAGGTGGGCATGAGGCTAGGGCCCCCTGCACCAGGCCTTGCCTTTCAGTGGTATCCCCTTCAGAAGATTCCAGCCAACACCAGGGGAGGGAGAAGCAGTAGTCCCAGGAGAGGGCCCCACACATGACCAGGGCGCGAGTTCAGCCCTGACACGATGCCAGGTTTGTCAGGGACCTCTGCACCTGAGGGAAGAGAGAGGCTTTGCCTCAGCCTAGAGATGGCTGTGCCTGACGTTCCGCCCACCCCACCATGCAAGTTGGGGGCGGGCAGCAGCCAGGGAGGAAGCTCCTACTTAGAGGGCGCATGCCCCACCATGCTCAAACCACCTAAGCTGGGGCAGGATGCTGACATTCCAGAGCCAGGGAGGAAGTAGGACATGCTACGGGCCTTACCTGGCAAGAATGACTGCAGGGCCAGGGTACGCCCACCCGTGGCATTAGTGGTGGCAGAGGTATTGGGGAAATTGGGCAGGGACTTGGAGGAGGTGTGCCCCATGTGGTCCAGTGTGGCCTGCAGCTCACCTGGCTTGTCCTGGGCTGGAAAAACTGAGGCCAAGACCTCACTGGAAGGAGGCAACTCAGCCTCAGCCTCACCTTCAGCCTCAGCCTCAGCCTCAGCCTCCTCCTGGGCATGGGGCACGAGCTCCCTTGTCCCTGTCAGGAACATCTTGGGGTCCAGAGAGTTCTCTGGGCTCTTGGAGGGCACTTTTGTTTTGTCTGTCACTTTGTCTGCTGATTTTGGGATAGGAACATGGGTTGATGTGGGGAAGGTAACTGGCACCTCATCCAAAGAGGGCAGGGTGTGAGCTGCCAAAATGGAAGGGACCTCAGTTGTTACAGAAGGTGGAGCCTCTGTTGCCATGGAGGGAGGGTCTTTCGTTGCTAAGGAAGTTGGGGCCTGGG